TTTATCTTCTTCTCGGCAGTTAACTAATCTCACTCTGTTTGCAGTAGACTGATCGCTCCTACCTCATAACGACCGGCTATTATTTCTTCGTTTCTGAAGTATTCCACTTTTTTTGGTGACAAAGTCCTATTGACTTTGAATTGAGAGCCAGCCCTCTCTCTCACCACTCTGGTGAGTTAAAGGCTGTGAGTTAAATTACAGCATCGGACATTTTCCCCTTCTATGCTGTGTATTACACTATAAAAAGACTTTTTCCCATGTACATAATTATTTCATACTGCAGTAATCATGCTCAGCATGAATGAAATGGAAAAGTTTTGTCATTAGTATGTTATGTTAAACAAAACATGTTGAGATAAATGTACCTGATGTTTGTTTTATTTTCCCTACTGGTGACTCCCATGATGCAGTGGGGCTCCAGTCACTCCAGGCTCCCTTGTGGTGCTGAAAAATAGACTGCACACGAACTCGTGCCTCGTACCTCTCGCCTTGTATCAACAAATCTTGCTCTAGCTCTGCCTTGCATCCCGGCTGGCACTCCTCTTCATTGCACTGAATGCCAAGTTTTTTGTACACAGCAGGATCCTGACACAAAAAAAGCAGTGTGGAGTTGTGGATGAATCTTGCTTGGATTTCACACAGCCACAAGGTTGTCATTTAAACGTGCACTTTTAAGATCACTCAGCTCAACTTAACTCACTGAAACTTGTTCACATTGTGTCACAAAATCTAAACTTACACTCCATGACTGATCCTGCTTCTTCCACTCGACTTCACTTCTGTATGAACTGATCCTTTCATGTTTGGGGACTTGGGACAACCAGGAAACAGACGTGAAGTAGATTTTTGGCTCTGCAGGAGGATTCACCTTTACTGCAAGATCACACACACAGTTGTTTTAGGTCACCATGAATAGCTCGCACTGTAAATCACAAAGAGCCAGTATTTATACTCACTGTGACAGGATGGCATGAAAGAAGTGATTAAACTCTGCTTCATTTGGTTGCAGCTCAGATTAAGGGACAACTCATGGAAAGACTGAAACTGGAAAAAAATGTTTGAAAAATATTTACTGTTAGAAAACATTTATTACAGAAGTTTCTTTTTGGCAAACTTCAAAAGGGGGCTTAACGAAAGCTTAATTTTTTCCAGTGACAGAAAAACTATTTAGAAGGAGTCAATGACTGCCCCGAGAACATTACTTTCTACTTTCTGCAGAATATTAGTTCTGACTTCTAATTAAACTACAAACTGAGATAATATGATTTTATCTCGGTGGCGCTACAATAATTTGATTTCTTCACACACTCACAGTGTATTCCATTTCAAAGATCAGGGAGCACTTCTTTAGCGCTGGTCTGGAGACGTCAACAGACTTTAGCTCACAGGAAGCGCTGTAAGAACTGGGAAACAGTATTAATCTCTTTTTGGTGCACATGATGACATCTGTGATTTATGTTATGTGAGTTTTATGTGTTGAGCTTTTCTCTTTGTGATTGAGCTCCTTACATGTAGCGAGATTTATACTGAGCATGTATGGTGCATGCAGTGTCATCAGACACGTATCTGCTGTTCCACAAACATGTGATGTTTCTATTGTAGTCAGTGTAGCAAGTGAGATCTGTGAGAATTAAAACAGGAGAGATTAAATGAAAATGAGTAAATATGTCAAACAACAGATCTTAAAATCAGTTAAACATGAATAAAGAGGAATAAAGACTAACTCTCTGGAAGCCTGGGACACTCATCACTTGTGCAGAGCAGCAGCACAGGCAGCAGAATAAACAGGGAAAGGCTTTTCTTATTTCTCTCCATTAAGTCGACAGTTTTCTTTCTTAGAGGCTGCTGGGATGGTGACT